GAAACACTTTCTCGCCTAAGCTCTGGCCAGCCATAAAGTCTATACGTGTAGGTTATCTTGGAGTAGGTTTTGGACCACCCAAAGACAGATACATTTAACTTACCGAACAGTCTCCAAGTTGCATAACATTGTTCTCGATCTACAAAGCACGTTACTGTTATTGTTGCGGACCAAGGCGATGTATTGTACAGCCTGTTACTACACACTTCCGGAACTCCTACCGTAATTCTATGCTGATCAGACTGGCGGTTGATCACCAACTGGGCGCCTACTGTCCCGTATCATTCAGCTAGTGTTAGATCGGTATACTGAACTATTGGCCATAATTATTGATTGCGGTTAACTATATGCATTGATAAGTAATGATCACACCCAGGCATTTCACAATTAGTTAATTTATATCAAGTTGATTATACGTACATTTCTGTCCATAGAGAGGTATTATTATTCCAATCTATTAGAATTGGCATAATGCAGTTTGTTATTTCATATAACTTCAGTACACAGTTGTCAATCGTCTTATTGTTAGCAATTATTCCGATAAATTTCTTTTTTATTGAAAACCTCAAAAATTACAATTAAAATTTTATATTTTATTTTGCAGAATATCCTTTTTCTTTTTTTTTTTTATATAAATAGGAAAAAATTGAGTCGTTTGTATTTGTGAATAATCTCCAAATATTATATTATCTAATATAATGAAACTTTCTATATTATATTGAACCAACAGTTCGCATCTGGTAACAGCTCCATTGTCTCTGGATAAAGGCTGCATTTCGTTGGGCGTGAACGAAGAGTCTATTGTGGCTAGATCGACGCGTTGCTACGTAACGATTATGTGTGCTCAAGCGGAGGACTATACAATAGCGTTGTGGAAAAGGAAGCATTCCGGTAAAGCGTTCACTTTTGAAACAGTATATAGAATTGTACTAAACAATCAACACCGATAAAGTCGTAGTCGCGTTTCTCACATTATTCTATCAAGATTCACTTTTATTCCGCATATAGAAAATAATTATTATGCGATGTTTATTATGATTTTCATGCAGATATTATAGTTTATGGAAAATATTATGCATGTTTTTATTATTGTTATTATCATGTAGTAAAATATTCCGGTAGATATGTACATAAGTTAACAAAAAATTATACCAGATTTCTTCACGAGAGCCTCACATATTCAATGATCACTTCCAAAACATCACGTCCAAAAATATTTTGAAACATTTTAATTCATTATATTTGAAATAATTGCATGTCATCACTTGACAGTGTATTATATTTTTAATAATTTATTATATTCAAAAATATTGTTTAAATTGATAACTAATATCATTCATATTAATCATTTAATAATATAAATGATAATAAAAATAATAATGATAAAAATTAAATAGATGTCAAATCAGACTCAATTTTTTAATATTGTGTTTCATTTGATTTTATTCATCAATACATTCCGTACCGCGTTGATCACTGACAATCCATAAGATTTTCTGTTTAAGTCATTTGATATTTCAGTTAAATAAAGCTATATAAAGAATCATTAAATATTTCCTGATATCACTTGTCGGAACATAATTATGACGTAATTACAATATTAGTACTTTAAATCTTTTTCCTTTACAATAATAATTTTAGCAATTTTTCCATTATGGAAAACTCCACAATTTATATAACAATTACAATAATTATATCGCGTAGGAGTTTCCATGATGGATACCAAATTACTTAAAATTAATATGCAACGTGTTAAAAGATGCTTCATAATTTATTTAAAAGTTCAATAAAATTTCTATAATCTAAACTCCCTTTTGTATCATTAATTTTTTTCAATTTATTCAGATATATAATTAAAAATATTATTATATAAATTATATATAAATAAAATATTTTAAAAAATTACAAAAAATTTTTTAAATAAATAAATTTGGATATAACATATCGTTTATATAATTTTATCATTTTCTTTCATGTTTAAGCAATTATAATTATCATTAAATCATCAAATTATTCAATATCATTTCCAATCACATATATGCATATGTAGATTTTCCATTTTATATCCTGTGAAATTGATTTTATATAAATACATCAACACGTTCGCTTGTATTTCATGGCTTCTATTTTGGAATGACCTGCGGACAATGCCAATTGGTAGCTGCCAATCACTGTTTGCTCAATGGGGTGATATAAATCGCACGCGTAACGACGAACTGCAGAACTGCTGGACTAATTGCTGAGACCCGGAGGAGAGTTTTTATATCAATGAAAATACGACAATGAGCAATCGACTGATAGCCATAAAATGCACAATCTTTATACATAATCGGTATGCGCCTACAAGCTGATATAAAAGAAAAATATACTTTTCGAAAACATGCATACAAAAAAGTCGCTCGCGTTTTGCTACTAGAAATAAAGAGTTCTTGAAAAAGTCAATAATATACAATTCATCGCAAAAATGCTTTTTGAATATGTTCATGGTCTGCAATGTATATCACTTAAGATATGCAGCCGTTCCTATACTGACGTGATACAATACATAAGCGTATTATGGGAATGCACAATGTATTCGCTATTATTCGACATCGTGCAAATCGATTAATTCATGCAAACCATCATAACAAAAATCTGTATTTTCTATCACTTTAGATAAAATGTGCTTCAAAATTTTTTATATTTTCTTTCCTTTTTATATAATTAAGTATCTCTAAACAATTAATAAAAGAATATAAAAAAATGTTTTTCTATATTCAAAAGTATCTTTAAATTAATAAATAAATTCGGATTTAAAAT